CTAGTTACCTAGTAAGCCTAAGAATTGCCAAGACTGGGTAGGCTAACACTATTGGAGTTAAAACTAATTACCATCAGCTAAAGATGTAATTACCTCTTTAGTTGATGGTTGTAAGATGGTAATTATACACTGACTGCCAATAAGTATTTGGACACCTATGCAGATGACGATATCTGCGGTCCTAAGGTACGTCACGGACTCCGCCGGTATATATCGTGTACGAAACAGCATCGGCTTTAGTTGCATGCAAGATGCCTCGCAGTTCGGAGCTCTCTGATTTCGAGAAAGGTATAATTATCGGGTATCTCAAATGTGGCCGATCCTTAAGGGACATATCTAGCGACATGAAGTACACAAAATCGACAGTGGCCTATGTGATTGTCGGAATGTGCCCAGAGTCGGCAGACCAACGAAACTGGGAGATAGAGACCGACGAGGGCTGTCCAGAGAAATTCGGAAGAACCGCACCCAACCAATGGCCCTCATCCGCGAAGAGTTTCAACAGGCATCCGGGAGTATTGTTTCAATGAATACCATCCGTAAGAAAGCACATCTGCTTGGTTTTCAAGGTCGTGCTGCTGCCCGTAAGCCTTTGAGCACAAAGTCCAACCGCGCTGCTCGGTTAATGTGGTACAAAGCACATCGAAATTGGACCATAGAGCAGTGGAAACGGGTTCTTTGGAGTGACAAATCAAACCTTACCGTTCGGATGGCAGGGTCTGGGTCTTGCGTCTACCTGGAGAACGTCTCCTGCCAGAATGCATTGTGCCAACAGTCAAGTTCGGCGGAGGTGGAGTTATGGTCTGGGGGTGTTTCTCCTGGTATGGGCTGGGACCCTTGGTCCCCATTCATGGTAACCTCAAGTCCGATGCCTACTGCACTATTTTGGATGACAATGTACTTCCTACGTTATAGCAGTTTTACGGGTTGGACCCCTGTTACTTTCAGGACGACAATGCCAGTTGTCATGTTTCGACGTTAACCAAGGCTTGGCATGCTGCCAATGGAGTTCATCGAATGGACTGGCCTGCCCAGAGTCCAGACCTGAACCCTATCGAAAACCTCTGAGACGAGTTGCATCGCCGAATTCAGGGGTGCACTACCCGTGCAAAATCGGTGAAGGAACTTCTATGTCTTCTCCAAGCCGAGTGGAAGAAAATACCATTAGCTGTCATATAAAGACTTGTGGAAAGTATGCCCCGCAGAGTCTACGCTGTAATTACCTCTCGTGGAGGCTCTACCAACTATTGATTTTGAATAAAGTTAGTTTTTCTTTTCTATCACAGGTGTCCAAATACTTATTGGTAGTCAGTGTATTACCATCAGCTGAAGATATAGTTTTAACATTATTCAACGAAAAAGCGGCTAAAGAACTTGATAATATTCCCTTATCAAACGACATAATAAGTCGACGAACTCATGAAATAGCAAATTTCCGTAAAAGAGACACTTATTCAAAAAATAACACACAGTGAGTATTTCGCACTGCAATTGGATGAAAGTACTGATATAAGATACTTTCTTAGATTATTAGTTTACATACGTTTCGAAGAAAATAAACAAATTGCTGAAGAGTATTTATTTTGTGAACCCCTTCATGATACGGCAACAGCAAATAAAATTTTGAAAGTAATTGACAATTTTATGTTTGCGAATAGTATTCCTTGGAATAAGTGCACTGGCATGTGCAGTGACGGAGCTGAGGTTTTAATAAGAAAACATTTGAGTGTTATTTCTCAAATGAAGATAGTCGCACCTGAAACTATATTTACTCACTGCTCATCGTGAAGTTTTAGTAGCCGAAACAATCCCCGTATACCTGAAAATCGTTTTGAAGCAAGCTGTGAAAACTGTTAATTTTATTAAGAGCTTGTAGAGACATTAGGTTATTTCGAAGCAGGAGTCGTGAAAAATGAGCAATGCCCCCGCCGGGTTTCGAACCATGGACCTCTCGAATACGCGTCGAGCGTGCTGACTGCTGCACCACGAAGGTATGCTAAGAAGGCAGGAGAAATACTTTATAAGCCGAGCTTTAAATTCAAGAATATTTACGATTTTATGCGAAGAAATGGGCAGTGAAGATGAAACGCTTTTGTTACATTCCGAAGTAAGGTGGTTTTAAATCACCTATTTGAGCTTGATGAGTTAAATCATCTGTCTCACGATCAGAAATTCAAATTTTCCTCTGTGATTCAGAATTTGAATTGTAAAAATGTTTGTTTAGTGAATTATGGTTGGCACGTTTAGCATATTTAGCGGATATTTTGGGAAAGTTAAATGAACAAAATTTAGAATTACAAGGGCAAAGTGTTAATTTATTTACCATTACAGGTAAAATAAATGCATACATAAAAAAAACTCGAGCTGATAATCAAAGAATTGTTTAATAATATTTCAAGCTTTTTATAAGCTTGTAGAAGGTTTTCTGATCGAAAATAATTAAAAAAAAAAAAAAATGAACGTCTGACATTAAAAATCATTGTTTTGCATTGATAAATAATTTTAACATGTATTTTCCCGAGGATTATGAAAAAGAAAATTGGATTAGAAATTCATTTTGCTGAAATGTACCTGAAAATTTATCTCGTGAATAAAAAAGTACAATTGAGAGAAAATTTCTGTGATCGAACTTTAACTGAAGATTTCAAAAAATAACACATTTGTTAACGTCTGGCTGAACCGAAAGAAAGAATTTAAAGGCATTTTCAAATAAGGCTATTAAAATTATATTGCCTTTTTTGCACAACTTATATGTGTGCACAAGGATTTTCTTTCATATTATATTTGAAAAATAGATACAGAACAAAATTAAAAATGGATCCTGATTTATGGATAAAGCTAAATCAAATAAGACCAGACACAAAGAGATTCAAATCTCTTCAACAGACGAAATTTCAGACTAAATTTTAAATTTAAAGTAGTATAGCTTAAATTTTGATAATTAAAATGATAACCAATTTTTATTCTAATATATTTTATGTGTACATATTAAATACAAATAGCCAATAGCTTGTGCAAATGGCAAAATATATTTTTTTAATATCTCCATAGAGAAATGGAAAAATAATCATTGTAAAATGTTGTGGTGGTACTAAAGTTTTTCAGTTTTTGTTTACATGATATACATTAGTCAAAAGGTTGAGAGCCCACCAGCGGCCGAGCCGTTAAAATCGCTGAACACTGGTAGTTTGGTCCGAGGTTCGAATCCCGTGAACGAGCTGGCTGCATGGGCGTTTTCGTGGTCTTCCCCATGTGTAACGTGTATACAAGCCAGTTTTCCTTAGAAAGTTCTCCGCGAAGGTATCCCTCCCCTTAGGCAGATAGCCCTAGTGTGCTTTGCCGTATTCTCAATACACACACACACCAAAACGTTGAGAACCGCTGCTCTAATACAATATTAACGAAATTTGTCAAATTATTTATAAATATTATTAAGATAGTTGAATGTATGATTACCGAATATTCAATCCTAGATGATGAAAATGATGTTTTAGAAAAATGTGCTTTATTCCAAAAGTATCTGATTCAGATGATCCTTCAAAAAGCAGAAATGCTCCGCCTTTCTGTTATGCCAATTTCATAGTCAATTCATTTATTTTACTTCAGATTCAGACTTTCCTGTTTTCACAGCATGAGAACAAAACATAATACTAAATGCATTAATTTTAATGCTCCTTTAGGCTGTAAAATTATACCTCTGATTACCTATAATACTATTTTTAATAGTTAGAGGCTCATCCTTAGGTTTTAGATTATTCGTAAGGGTCTCACGATCACACACACATACACACACAAAATCATCTCAAGTTCAATTAGCCATAATTTTCAGTAATATTCTATTATAAATGTCTTTATAACGATAAACTTCGAACCGCTCAAAAGTTTCTTGTCAAATCAGTGGACCAGTTGTAAAATATCTGATGTGAACACCAAATGACTTCCTTGTATGGCCTATTAAATTATACTCACTTTTCCTGCATTTCATTTAAATTTATTTCCTCGAATCTCGTTAGAGATATATTTCTCATTCAATCAATTCAGTTCTCACTTTGTGGCAAGGCAAAAATACATAAAAACTCAAAACATTTTCTGCTAACCCATTCGTTTTGCTATTTTAGCTTCGTTATTAAGCATAATTTTTCTCACACTTACGCCAAATATAATTCAACAAGAAAATCACAGAATTTTTATTTAATTTAACAAAATTTAGAATTCTCGATGCAGTGTTAAGTGTTGGCATACATTTTTACATTTTCTCACTCTTTTCTGAGTTTAGCATATTAATGTTCAGTTTTCTTGGTAAAATGGCTAGCAAAAAAAAATTGTGTTTTTTACTTCCTTGTACGAAGTAAAAAAGAAAGTATTGTAATCGCGAAAAGTTTCAGGCAGCATATTTCAACGAAAATATCCATTTTGACCGCTATCGAATGCAATTTAACGATGTTTTTGCGTGATATCTGTACGTAAGGACAGAATAAAAGACTCTTTTCCTCAAAAAATTATAAAACTGCTTTAAAATGAATTCTAAAGAGAATTTTTCGTGGCGTCTGTACGAACGTATGTACGTACGTATCTCGCATAACTCAAAAACGAGTAGCCTCAGAACTTTGAAATTTTGTATATAGGACTGCTATAACATGTAGATGTGCACCTCGTATTTTGGTTGCAATCGGCCGCACCAAACGTATATAAATATATTTATATATATATATCCACTCTGTTACTCGGGTCAGTGATCTAAGTTTCTTTACTCTTATATGTTTGTAAATTGTACATTTTTTGCTTTAAAAATGATTGAATTATGTTGTTCTTATCTTCCGTTTAAGGTTTTTATGCCTTTAGTAAATCTGTATGCAATATTTTTAGAATTATCAGCAATTTTAAAGTTGTTTAATTGCCGCTAAGCCTGTTTTTAATGCCATTGATGTTTATATTTGAAACAGGAGACTAGTGGATTTGTTGCCAATCTAGAGAAACGTAGCTTCGCAACAACAAAGATAACGCCTTCATTTATTATTGCCAATTAAATCATGCTTAATCCTTTCTCAATCTTTCAAATTCATCAAAGTTTTACAAAATATGAAATAGATAATAAAACAAATTTGAAATTCAAAATTCGGGTTTCCATGTGCACATGTTCAGGTAGGGAACTGCGTTGCTCAAAATTTGATGACTTTAGGTACCGTCACTTTTTCACATTGGGAAAACCATTAATACATTTATGCAGATTCTTCAATTATTTAATTTCTTTAAAAATAATATAGGACGATAATATTTGGTGGCAATTGTTTGAAAAATAATACACCATTTACAGTGATTCTATTTCTTTTAGAGAAGATGTAGGGAAAGATTTTCTGCTTCTTAGATTTTCTTAATGAATTATTGCGTGAACTATTTTGAGCTTTCAATTAAAGGTTCACTGTCTTCATTTTCAAAGAGATTTTCCAAAGATCTGCGATTTTTCTTAGGCAGGGCGTACCTAAGTTTCTCCCAGAAGAGAAACTGTCCCCACCGCAAGCATGTGCAAGATCTCATCAGTGCGGCCAAGGTGCTGTCCAGTTGAGAAACTGGAGGAAGTTCTCCATTGGTGACAATGATAATCCGGCGGCAACTTTCTGTCGTTGAGAATGACAGTGCCTTCTTGAATAAATGCATGGATTGAAGATCACACAGGAAATCTCTGCAATGGAATATAACAATGTTAGTCAAACAGAAATACGCGCAATTAAATTTAGAAAGAAACTTAATAATCTCACAACAACTTAACGTTAAATCTTATGTCAGCATATCAAAAGAATAAAAATAAAGATGGTATAAAAAATAAAGGGCAATATGAAAATAGGAACCCACTGTTAGACAGCGTTCATACAATTATTCTGTATCGAGGTAGTAATATATGATATTAGAAAAATCTTTGGTGAACATATTTATAAAATCAGTGTATATCATAAATCATATGAATCAGATATAAATTATACATGCTGTAGACATTATTAAAAATAGGATCAGGAATAAAAAATATGCATATCTGCTCTCAAGTCACTCAGTTAGTTAAATAAGATATAATTTTATTGAACAAAGAAATTTTAATCTGACATGAAAATCTTGCGATGTGTGGACAGAACACTGAGATATGGTAATTAGCTAGGTAATGAAGAGAATAAATACTATACTAAAGCAATATAATGTAAGTGAATATAAAACATGGGGAGTGGGCAAACTGTTACGTTCCTAAGGCACCTTGTCAAGTTATTGAATCGCTTCAAAAGGACCCATAATTTTTTAATTTTTCCTGTATTTGTTAATCTTATGAAACACAACATAAGTGCTTTCATTAATAAAGTTTAATAAAATAAAATAAAAATAGTGTGTAAAAATTAGCATTTGTATGTCTATGTGTAGCAGCTTTTGCTATGTGTTCTTAATATTCTTTACTGGAAAAAAAAAAAAAAAAAATGATACACGCAATTAAAATACCATCAGTTTTATTTTACGATATGCTTTAGGTTTTGATATGCCTGCAATATGGTCAACTCTATTTGGATGCTAGTAATTTTGTTAACAATTAAGATTTTTTAAATTAGTCGAATTTTAATGAACATTCCACAAAACTGAAATTAATATTAAATAAAAAAATCTGATGCGGACATCACATGACTTTCCTCTGCGGAATATTAAATTATAAGCATATTTTCCTGCATTGCATATAAGCATATTACCTCGAATTCCATTAGAAATAGATTTCTTATTCAATTAACTCAGTTCTCACTTCGCAGCAAGGCAAAAATGCATAAAACCTCAAAATATATTCTTTAAAAATTGAAAGATATAGAAAAACATAAAACACCAAATACAGTTACAACAATTAGAAAACAATTTTTACAAATAAAATTAGAGTTTCTACGCAAAAACAAGCAATTCGGCCAGCAGGTAAGGAGGTAGATTTTTCGGCACAAAACTAAGTAGTTTCCCTTTGGTCCCACTCGGCAAAAAGGCACTGAAGGTGCAGAAAGACTTCTGCACTATTCTGCTGACTTTAAAATGGCTGTGGTAAGAAAAATTAGGCTTAGCGGCACTTAACAAATTTTAAATTGTTGATAATTGAATAACTGTTGCATGCAGGATTAACTAAAGGCATAAAAACCTTAATGAAAGCTTAGAACAACATAATTCAATTACTTTTAAAGCAAAACAATGCACAATTTACCAGCATATTAGATTTGATGTACGTGTGAGTAACACGTGCATACGAAAATATCCCTAACATTAACTAGGAAAGCCGAAATCTTAGTTAAGATAGACATGTTACAATTAATAATCAAATTTAATAAGGAAAGTAACAGTTGCCGGGTACATTATAACGGCTTAAGAAATTCAGAGCACAGTACAGATGCGAGTACACAAGATCACATATTTCGGCGAAGCAGAGACGCACACATTTGTTGAAGTAGTTCCACTTGACTGCCGGGGGAAATTCTTCTCTCTCCGTCAGCCTGTAGGTTTGCCAAACGGGTTTACTGTTTCGCCAATTGGCGCTTTTCTGTACAGTTTTTAAGTCCGTATCGCCTGTTTGGCGCTGCCGCTGCAGATTGAAAAAAAAAAACTGAGCTCACTGAGCCGAGTAACAGAGTGGGTATATAAACATATATATATATATATATATATACTTTTGATGCGGCCGATTGCAAACAAAAAGGGAGGGGCACAACTGAATGTTATAGCAGTCATATATACGAGATTTCAAAGTTCTGAAGTTAATTGTTTTAAAGTTATGCGAGATACATATGTACGTACGTACAGATGCCACGGAAAAAATCTCTTCTGAATACATTTTAAATCAGCTTTATACTTCGTTTGGTGAAAACGACTCCTTACGTACAGATGTCATGCAAAAACATCGTTAAATTGCATTCGATAGCGGTCAAAATGGATATTTTCGTTGAAATATGATATCCGGAATTTTTTGTGATTACAATGCTTCTTTTACTTCGTACAAGGAAGTAAAAAAGCTGAATTATTTCTGCATCGCAGTACGTAATACATGATGTTCGAAACAAACATGTTTGAATTACTGTAGTTTGTTTTAGAATTACGGTAATTCTAAAGCAAACTACAGTAATTCAAACATGTTCATAAACATCAGATAGATGCATCAAATATTAAATATACTTAAAATTAAATGCTGCATGATTAAATTGAATTTTTTGCTGCATTTAAAAGAATTCTTCAGCAAATAGTGAAAGCACGATAGAAAATTTGCCTGTGAAAATGTGTGGCTTTGAAAATACATTTGATAAATATTCAGAGAGGGAATGGTAATAATCCATGTACGAAAAATCCAGCCCTCCCTTTTTTTTTTAGATTTGACCACCAGTATTCAGCCTTCTTCTCTATTCGATCATCGGTTGGGCAAGAATCGTGAGATCGTAAACTGTCATACGAAAATTGAATTAAGAGGAGAATGTAAAAGCGATCAGCCAAGCGTAAAAACAGTAAGCATATCAGGACTGGTATTCCTCTTTACTTGCTTTGGGAACAGTAACTGTCCTGATTCGGAACAGGGAGCTTACTGAAGCTATGTTCAATAAATTGTGAAGTAGACAATACACACAGGAAGGGTATACGAAACCCTTTATTTTTCTCTCTTTACAATTTATTGAACATAGCTTCAGTAAGATCCCTGTTCCGAATCAGGACAGTTAATGTTTCCAAAGCAAGTAAAGAGAAATACCAGTCCTGATAGTGGCGCCCAATTTATTGAACATAGCTTACTGAAGCTATGTTCAATAAATTGTGAAGTAGCCAATACACACAGGAAGGGTATACGAAACCCTTTATTTTTCTCTCTTTACAATGATTTCCGAAACTTCGGAATACAGAGACCAACCACTTGTGGTCTGAACGTAAGAATATAAAAATATTAACTAAAACTCTAACTAAACTAACTTTGGATTAATAAACAAGTGCCTAACTCCAAGATTGGCCGTTAATTAACAAAAAGCCGTATGTAGTACAGAGAGCTGCTAAAACTACGATACGTTTAAAATTATCACGAGGATTAAACCTCTGGCCTTGAAGGCAACCAGCAACCGAGTAAAACTACTATGGCAAGCGGCCTGCTTCTAATAACTCCTTCCTCTCTCTTGCTTGGCAAAAAGCCACAACTTAAGTACTTGGCGTTAGCAAGACAAATTTGCATAAATAAGTTAAAAGCTTTTAATTCTGGCCGGAAGTAGAAAATAAGAAGTGATAGTAAAGATTTAAAATAAAATAAACGTTAGTAAAACTTAGGATCCTTACAAGCAGAGTATTAAAAACAGAATTACAAAAGGATTTCAACAACTTCATATTCTTGCTATGTCCCTTCCTTTCTCGTCGAAGCTCTGGAATGAAAAATATGAATATCAATGAAATTATGATCATAAAGACATAGAGTAGGAAGAGTTTCTAACTCATGCCGAATTGCCTCAGCGTTTTGTTTCTGTAACTGCTTGAGAAGATGTAGAAGAACGGTCATTTTAAATTTTAACAGTTTGTTTCTAAAATGCAGTCTCCAGAACGCAGCTCCAAATATGTACGGTTTACAAAAGAACAATTGAAATAATAAAACAAACTTTTAGAACGTCATCGACGATTTTCTAAAAGTAAAACTAGGAAAATAACCCTCAGAATATTGAAACAGGAGTTTTATTTAAAAAATAAATATAAAGTTCTTATTTATTTCCCTATAAACCGTTTTGAAATCTGAATGATTTTTTTTGTGTATTCACAGAAATAGGCCGTTAAACGGGTTGTCCTTAGCATCAAAAGTTTGGCTACGTCAGTGATTCATTTAAAATAAATTACTAATTTAAAATATGACGTAAGTATAGAGCCATTAATCTTTTGTTTCCTATCGAAATAAAGGGATGATGTGTGAAAAACCACTGTTCTTTGCATTTTCTTTTTATTTTAAATGCTAATTTAATTGCCATAACCAAATAAAATTATTCTCCAAATTAAAATGCTTAGAGTACTGGTAAATTCTTAATAATTTTTCTTTTAATAACAGTATGGGTTATTCCTCTTTCCTATGTTTTTCTGACAGCTGTTCGTCTGACCATGATTCTGTGTTAACCGTGGATGTCATCTTCGTATTACAGTCAATCGGTAGGGTGCAATGTACTTAGTTAATTTATTCCCCTTAAAAGTGTTTTTTTTAACCAGGATCTATGTACTTTCACAATATCTTGCTCATTGCTAGAAACAAGGGAATAGTTCTTGTACTTTTGAATACGAAATATTATTCAACACAGGTGCTGTATTTTCTTGCGCCTCATCCACATCGCTGAATTGAACACTTTTTCAGAGCTTCTTTTACCCATCGGGGGAAAAAAAAATGGTCGGGCTCAGCAAAAAAAAAACGATTTGGTGATCAATGTGAAGGAAATACAAGCATCACGCTGTACTTCCTCAATTACTGGAAAGAATTTTTTTTTTTTTTCTAAAATATGATGAATGGTCCTTCAACGATTTTTACTAGCAGCTTGTCTCAATTTCTTAATGTTTTCTTCCCTTCTACTCATTAATGGATGTCCAAATCTAGAAGCCTTCATCTGACATGTCTCTGTTTCTAAATTTGAAAAACCACTAGTAAAGTTATGATTTATGAAAATTATCTTAATAAGGTCTCCCGGAGCATAATGTACTATAATGCTGCCAACTAGACGCTGTTTTACTATGAAGCATCCACCTGTAGGTATCCAGTCAATGACAACTTAAAAGCTAATATACTCAGAATATTACATTATGCTGAGAAGATTACCGCTAGCCGAGAAAGAAATGTACATGCCGAGCTCTCAATAAGGAAAGACAAAAATGGCATACACCCTAAAGTAAGATGAAATATCACCACATCAAGACATATGAAATAAAACAATATTATTTAAATAATAAGACATATGAAATAAAGTAGCATTATTTAGTAAAGCAGTAGTATAATATTATGTTCACACTTCTGTAATGAATACAATTATGGTAAAAGATATTGAAATAAAATACAGTAATTGATAGAAGAAATTTTACCTTGTTAAAAGCACAATGACTTTGCTACAATCAGCAAGAACAGAGCTTATGTCATCATTCTCCTCTGTGATTTGAATATCTCGAGTAGGAATGCATAAATTAAATATAGGTGAGCATGATTCTAGACCTTGTAAAAAACGAAACGAATATAAAATCAGTAAGAGTCACTACAAAATTTAACAAAACACTTCATGCTAAGATGAAAGAAATGCAACAAAATAAATGGAAGATATTACGATGCATTTTATGCATTTTTTCAGTACTATTTAAATTGAGGTTAAAAATGACTTTTTGAAATGTATACATTGCGCATTAAAGCAAACAGAGAAATCAACATTTTTACTTCTTACCCTTCAAAATACAGGGTGTCCCGTAAATGTTGCGACAAACTTCTGGTGGAGGTAGCGCACATCATAAGGATTAAGAATTTCAATAGGAACCCATGCCCGGAAATGTCAGGGATAAATAATAGCAGACATAGAAGATAGGAAAATAAACAAGAGTGATTAATTTGAAACATCTATTGTACATGAATGTAAATGACGTACGGCAGTTTGAATGTTACAACGGATGCTCGAAGTTTGCACCATCAGAAGCCAAACATGCCTGACACCGACGAACCATTGATTGCCGCACATGTTCAAACACAACGGGAGTTTCTATGATTGTAGCAGCTGCGCAGGCGATTCTTGCCACGAGATCCATTTTAGACAGAAAAGGATCCTGATACACGACACTTTTGATGGCTTCTAAAAAAAAAGAAATTAAGGCTCAAATCCGCTGAGCGAGAGGACCAGAGAACCGGTCCACCACGCCCAATCCATCGATGCGGGAATGATCTGTTCAAATGGCTACGAACATCCAGTCCAAAATGAACAGGCGCTTCATCATGTTGGAATCTAAAGTTACGCCTCACATTTGGTGTAACATCGTCAAGCAAGTCCGGAAGAACCTGCTCCAGAAATATCAAATAATTCGCGGCATTCAACCTGGATGGTGAAAAGTACGGCCCGACTTAGCAGTCATCGACTAAACCCGCTCACACATTAACTTTGAAGCATTGTTGTGCCATGTGGTGCCGCACACCGTGGGAGTTTTCTTGAGCCCACAGAAACCACTGTGCGAAACGCACACGTTCATAATCTGAGAACAGTAACTGAACCTTTTGGAGACGAAAGGCGTGGAAGGACTCGGAGTTAAATACTCGCTGGACACTCGAATGGGACATTCTTAATTGAGAGGCAATTGCACGTATGCTGGTCCTTGGATTACTGTCCACAGTATCCAACGCTCTTTCTTTCCTAACGACCGAACGAGTCGATCGTGGACTATTCTCACTTGTCCTGCCATTTCTTAATGACCAGTAGTCGCACAAATTTTGATTAAGACGTGCAAACAAACTGTAGTATGGTTCATGTCTGTCAGAGAAGCGTTATCGATAAATGCTTCCAGCGGTTCGTATATTCCATACACTAAGTACTTCAGCTATTTCATACACTAAGTATATGTTTGCAAGTTCCCGGTTCGTATAGTGTTCCATGCTCTTCGTATGGTATCTACCGCTCGATTGAGGCAATCCTCACTTTCCACTAGCACTCTCTTGTACAGCACCCCCTGGCGGCGTACAATGACACTTCTGGGCATCAACTCCTATGCAATTCTTAATCCTTATGATGTACCCTACCTTCCCCAGAAGTTTGTTGCAACATTTACGGGACACCCTGTATATTCCTTTCAAATCTATGCAAAACGTAGCACTTTCATACATGTTTTGGAATAATCTCTAACTCACTGCTCACGATTTTCTGAGTGTACATCTATTTCTGTCAAAATAATCACCTTTGAGGTGAGACCTTCAAGTAGTAGAATTTATATTTATTAACCTAGTTATCGTATTATTTTTGTCTATCTCTTCTATATGCATCGGCTACTACCAAAATTCAAATCAGTTAATACGTATATAAATACAGAAATATTGAGTTTAGGAGAGAACTTTTGGAAACGTTCGCTGATTGTCCCAACACTATTTTCTCCCAGCTTCTAAATTTACTTCAATTCGGCTTAATTTTCCTAGCTCAGAATTTTCTGTTATTACGCAGGCTTCCCTCTGAGGGTCCTCCTCGGGGCAATGGAGAGGCAGCAACTTTCCTCGAGCGAGGATCTGCTAACGAGCCAACCACTAAGCTGTGGGCGACCTCCCCAAAATGGGGCATGAACAATTCTGGTGGTATATCCAAACATCACACTCCCAAAGCAGTAACCTGTCAGTGGATACTTTGTCCTGCCTGGAGATCCTGGTAATGAGGTCATCTTTTCGGGATAGGTAGGGGCTTGAGTATTACAAACAGGTGACAATGCTACTAAATCCTTGGGACCAGATAATTACATGCCTCTGTTATTACACAAACTATACAAATTGTTAGACTGAAGAACTAATGAGAAGGTTTATTTTAAGTCCTTCTTTGCGTTCAATGTTACTCACTGGAAGATTTATAAGGTATTTCCCCCGCCTTCTTAGTATATCTTCATGGTGTAGAGGTCAGCACATTTGGCGCATATTGGAGAGGTCCGTGGTTTGAGTCTCGGCGAGGACATTGCTCATTTTCACTTTCATTCTACAGATATGACCTAATATCTCTACAGATTAAGACAAGGCGATAAGTCACCTGACGGTTTTCATAGTCAGAGTTAACATTTAAAATACACCAAATTCTATGTCAATCGACGCCCAATTGACAGGTGATATCTAAATAACTGCACTTTTGAAGGACTAAATTTAAATTCGAAATTTGGGCTTGTAAAGTTATTTAGATTTGCATAAATTATTTGGGGTTATATAAAAAATGTGGTAAGCTAACATATTTGCAGCAGTGTCATATGTACAGCCGTGTCGTATACCCAGGTAAAGCAACGTGGTGTCACTATGGCTAATCCCGCAAAAAGTAAGAAAAAAGTGTCATTTTTGAGTTAAAACTGGAATTGCTACAGGAAATGGAGAAAGGATACAGTAAAACGAAGTTAAGGGAGAAATACAAAACAGATACAATGTCTGAAAAGAAGGAGCTTTTACCTTTAGCGATGACTGACAAAGCAAAATCCTTGTCTTCTTCACAAAAAAGCAGGAATGCGTCGTATCCAAATAGTTGTCTTGGCCGTTTCTTTAGACACTTGCAACCGCAAGAGTAAAGAATTGTCTGGATTGAATTTCGGAAGCAGAAGCACAGAAGACAAACAAACAAGATGGCGGCTGCGACTGCTGTAAATAAATAACCCAAAAAAAAAAATACAAATTTTAAACCATGATGTGTAGTCTAATATAAGCACAGCCGAACTGCAGCCCCTCATATCATAACAAACAATAGTTTTATCTTTTAAATACAATTTCAATATGAAATATAAATACGGCTGCAATGCGTTTTGTAAAAATTAATAAGTTGATTTTTTTTACATTATATGTATGTTGAGATATTTGTAATCGCATTCTTACTGTTAAAAGGAAGTATAGCTTTCTGTCAAGTCCGAAACATTCATTAGCTTTCAGCCAGGTCCGAGTTATTCTGAAACTTAAATCCCATTCTGTATGTTACTTTTGATTGGTTAGTTATTGTGTCTTGTTTATGATTTGTTAAACCATGATCTGTTGTAAAGTTATATATATGACCTCTGTAACTGCTTATCGCTGCTTAGTATTATTCTGTTATTCTGCTTTGCTTAGTATTATTCTGCCTGTACTTATTTATCTGTGCTATTGCTTGTACTTAGTATTATTCTGCTTGCATGTAACTCTGCGTATTACTCTGCATATCTCAGTAATAAATATTTGTTTTGCGAACCACGGCATTTTCTATGTTTAACAGCAGAGCGTGGTTCCTTCAAAAGTTAGAATTCGCTGATAGTTCCCTAATTGAACCTTCAGTGTACTAATTTATCGTTCGCGTGATTTTGATTTGGTATATTGTGAATGATGGCTTTTTCCGGAGGTGAAAGGGAAGCTTTTGGTGTAGCGCCATTTGACGGTGTTAATAACTTTACTGTTTGGTGTCGAAGAGTTCGAGCAGTATTTACGGCAAGAGAATTGGATACGTTTTTGGAAACAGAAGCAGTTGCAGACAGAGTTGCAGATGTTTTGAAATCTAAAAAGGCTTATGCCATAATACTTGCCCTTCTAAGTGACAATGTTATTGCTTCTCTTCAACGTGAAGACACTGCATGTAAAATATGGAAGAAACTACAAGCTACGTATAGCGCTAAAGGTGCAGTGAGTCAAATTTTAACGCGTAAACGTCTAGCTACCATAAGGAAATCCAAGGATGTGTGTCAATGAGACAGCATATCGACAGCATAATGAACCTTGGTTGAGTAATCTTACGCGTCTCTGGCTCTGAAGTAAGCGATTTTGATATTATTATTTTACATTTTAATGTCTTTTACCAAAGGAATATGAAAATATTAAGGCATCTCTAGAGAAATCAAGCCAAGCAATAATTTGAGTTTAGATTTTGTTACAAGTAGACTTATTGATTGTGAATCTCTTATGTTTGAATTATAAAAGTGAAAATAAGTATTCTAAACCAAATACAGGATAACTCTGTTTTTATTTGTGCTCGTAAAGGAATTGTTTTGTACTTATTGTAAAAGAAAAGGACATTCTGTTAAATTTTGTAGGAAAAAGAACTGCGTCTGTCATAACTGTGGGAAAAGTGGTCATTTTAAAAATGAATGTTTTGATAATTCTAAAAAGCAGGCAAATTCAAATAGTAATAAGTACGCTTCCCCTGCAATATCTTTTATGGCTAGAAATCTTGTGCATGATCAATTTATTATTGATTCTGGTGCAACTTCTCATATGTCTTCTCACAAGGAATGGTTTACCTCAATTAAGCCTAAGACTGGAACTGTTAAGTGCGCGTCTAAGTCGGCGGTTTTAGAAGTGGAAGGAATTGGTGATATTTGCGGTAAAACTAAGAATGGTGTTGAAATAATGTTAAAAGATGTTCTTTACGTTCCAAAATTAAACGGACAATTAATTTCTGTTAAAATATTGAAGCAGCAGGTTTTGAGCGTAATTTTTAAAAATGAAATAGTTTATATTGAAAACAAAAAAATCAAGCGTTTTAGGTTTGGATACTTGGATAAATGCGGACAATATTTTAGTGATTTTTCACCAAATTTATTTACAGCTTTAGCAGTAAAGAATGATGATTTATGGCACAGAAGGTTAGGACACTGCTGTGATCAAAAATTAAAACTGATGAATCTTCCTGCAAAAGAATCCTTTTGTGAAGTATGTGTTCGTGCCAAACAAAGTGCTTTGCCTATAGGAAAGGGTCCTCGCATAAAAGAATCCAAACCGCTTATAACTACTATACACACTGATATATGTGGTCCAATAGAACCTCAAACACTCCATGGGGAAAGGTATTTCATGACTATAATTGATGACTATTCGAGATTTATGGAAATCAGACTGCTCAAAAGAAAAAGTGACATTGCTGATGAACTCAAGCTATTCTTTAAATTGAATCCAACTGTTGCAAAACTTCGCTGTGACAATGCCAAAGAATATGTCAGTGGAGAATTGCATGAAGTTGCTAAAAGATCAGGTGTAAAAATAGATCCTGCACCTCCCTATACACCTTTTCTAAATGGTGTTGCTGAACGAGCAAATAGAACTGTACTGGAAAAAGCTAGAGCAATGATACTTGAGGCAAAATTACCAAAATTCCTTTGGGGTGAAGCAGTACTTACGGCTGCTTACATAAATAACCGACTCCCAAATAGTTTCAATTGACAATCGTGTCCTTATTTTTGAAGTATGGTGAAGATCCTGATTTAACAAACATTCGTGTATTTGGCTGTGATGCTTATACTCTAGTGCCACCATCGCAAAGAAAGAAACTAGATGAAAATTCTGTCAGAATGATATTTGTAGGTTATTCCACAATGGGATATCGTTTAATGATTCCAGAAACAAGACGCATCATTGTTTCCAGAAATGTTAAATTTAATGAAGAAAAGAAGAAAGTAGAAAATCAAAAATATATTTGCAATAGTTCTGATTTGAGTGAAAATGACAATAATGACATTAAAAATGAAGACAAATCAATTTCAGACACTGATAACGGCGAATTAAATGCTGCAAATAAGAAGGAGGAACAAAGAAAATCCTCAAGAGAAAAGAAACAGCCAGTTAGGTATCCTGATCCTGAGATTTACCAAGTAATGTTTGCACAAGACACTCTGACATTTGAAGATATTGTAAATCTACCACAAGTAGAACAAGAACCATGGATAAGAGCTGTGGACGAGGAAATGAAATCTATGGAAGATTACGACGTCTGGGACCTACAAAGTTTACCCCCTGATAAAAGAGCCATTTCCTGCAAATGGGTTCTACGTAAAAAACGAGATGGAACTTACAAAGCGAGGCTTGTTGCTCGTGGCTTTATGCAAAAGGAAGGCATAGATTATACAGAAACGTTTTCTCCAGTGATTAGTATGTGCTCTTTACGTTTAATCCTGGTAATTATCAATAATGAAGGTCTGCAAATTTTTACTTTAGATGTCAAGACAGCTTTCTTGATTGGTAAGTTAGATGAAATCATCTACATGGACCAGCCAAAAGGATATGATGATATAAGTGGTAAGAAATGTAAACTTAAAAAGAATTTATATGGTCTTAAACAGTCTCCTCGACAATGGTATCAGAAATTTCTTAATTTTGTTATTAAATTAGATTTTAAGCAATTGGACTCTGAACCATGTATTTTTATCAGAAATTTAAATTGTAAGAAAGTAATTATGGCTCTTTATGTAGATGACTTATTAATTGCAGGTTCAGATGTAAAAGAAACAAATATTATAATATCATTGTTATCAAATGAATTTAAAAATGTCAAAATCTGAAAGTGTTTCGGAATTTGGGTATTAGACTGAAATTTGAGTCTGGTTGTTTATTTAGATCAGAAACCATATATTGAAAAATTACTTGATAAATTTTAAAATGTCTGATTGTAAAACAGCCCAAACTCCCATTCAACCAAAATCTACAGCAGCTGATTTTCAGAAAGGAAATGCATTTCATGGCCCCATACAAAGAATTAATTGAATCTTTACTTTACTTAGCATATATCACAAGGCCAGATATTATTTTTGCAGTAATTTGCTTGAGCCAACTGCAGGAGCATCCTACTGATGTTGCCTGGTGTGCTCTAAAAAGAATTCTTAGGTACTTGAAAAACACCTTAAATTTAAAATTGATATACAAAAAGGGTGATTTGGAAAGGGCAAACTTGTGTTTGTATGTAGATGCAGATTGGGAGGGAGATACTCAAGATAGGAAATCAATTACTGGTTATTTTGTAATGTTTTCAAATTGTCCTATTATGTGGTGCTGTAACAAGCAAAAGTGTATTGCACTTTCATCAACAGAAGCTGAAATAATTGCTTTATGTAAAGGTATTCAAGATGTTTTATGGATAAAAAATGTAGTAAATGAAATTTCCAGTGTTAAAAATGTTTATATTTTGAGGAAAACCAGTCATGTATCAAAAGTATTGTTAATGAAAACTTTTCAGGTAGGTTGAAACATATAGATATAAAATTAAAGTTCACTCGTAAGATTGTTAAGGAAAATAATATTAGAATTGAATATGTGCAATCAGGTTTACAAATTGCAGATATGTTAACTAAGGCTTTGTCCAAAACAAAATTCTATGAACTGTTATCTTTGAGCTGTTTAGAAATTGTGTAATTCTTTTATGTTTTGTATAATGTGCGATTAAGGGGGAGTGTTGAGATATTTGTAATCGCATTCTTACTGGTTAAAAGGAAGTATAGCTTTCTGTCAAGTCCGAAACATTCATTAGCTTTCAGCCAGGTCCGAGTTATTCTGAAACTAAATCCCATGTATGTTACTTTTGATTGGTTATTATTGTGTCTTGTTTATGATTTGTTAAACCATGATCTGATTGTGCAACCTCGCTCTTGATTGCCGTTACTCTGCTAACTGCTCGCATATTTCTGCACTTGTTGGCACATACAGAAGGTTTGTTCCCGTTGAACCTTGTGTTCTGGGGACTGTAAAAGGTCCTTGCGTGCCCTATTTCTTGCCTAGCTCTAATTTTCTTGACTTGGACTTGATCTGGAAAATGTCAATTATTCAGCAAATTGTGGATCGCTTTCATGCACTGACTTCCAGGAATGATAGCCTGACCCCCTATGAGCAAGTTGAATTGGCATTCCTGAACAGATTTA